CTTGAGCCATATTGTGTATAGAAAAAAGACCCATACAGATAGATATTTAAATGGTGATTCTCACCACCATCCTTCACAGTTAGCTACCGTGGGTAAATCTTTGTTTCAGAGAGCACGAGGGATCTGTGACAGTAAACACCTGGCTGCCGAGCTCCACCATGTCAAGCAAGTTTTGCATAACAAGCTTCGGGTCCCGCGCCTACGTCACAGTGAACGAGTGAAGCCGGCCACAGTCGAGCGAGTACCTGATGGACTGCCATATGTTAGAGGAGTCACTGACAAGATTGGCTACATCTTCAAGCGTGCTTCCATCAAAACATACTTCAAGCCGCTGAAGAAGATGTCAGTTTTTACCATCAGTCAAGTGTAATGTCCCTCTGCAAGATGCAGAAGTGTACAAGCTTGATTGTGAATGTGGTCTCTCCTACATAGGACAAACTAAAAGATCAATTAACCCGCGTTAAAGAACATATAGCTGATGTGAAGAATCGACGCTCCGGGAAGTCTGCAGTCTGTGAACACGTACAGGATCGCCCCCGTCACTACATCAGATTTGGTAGACCACAAATCCTCGCTAAAGAATACCGATTCCTTTCAAGGTGGTTCGCGAGGCTATTGAAATCAAAAAACATCCTAATTTCAATAGAGAAGATGGCTGGGTGCTACCATCTGCTTGGGATCCTATAATAAATAAAATTAAATCCCAACCCAAGCATACAACTGCAAGACTTCAAGATACCATAAGTTCATACTGTATAGATCGGAACAAAAGTTAAAAAAAAAAAGTAAAATTTTAATCTATGTTAACCGCGGTTAACTATGACATCTGGACGTTGAACATCTCAGTCCCGATTAGACCATGAGTGCTGTAAAGCGCTCGAAACGTCGGGTAATTAAAAAGTTAAATATAAGCGATAAATTCCGTAAAAACTAGTATTATTTCAGAAATATGTTATAAAGTGGTTGAACTCTACAAAGAACTACCTACAATGTCGTGGTATTGCTATACCCCGGCGGAGGAGAAGCCCACTAAAGTGGGGCATCCGGGGACTGCCAGTGGGCACCGATACCCAAAGGATCGAGGAGGCTATCCAGGCAAAAGGCTTTCCCATCAGGTACGAGAAGGCCATACCACCACGTAGAGGCAGACCTGATTGCCTCTACTACGCACAGCTGGACCATCGAGCCTGAAGCGGCTACAAGAACTCTATCAGATCGACGAGCTCCTCTATATGAGAGGAGTCGTCATCGAGGCCTGGCAGAGGAAGAAGAAGCCGGCACAATGCCACCGTTGCCAGGCTTTCGGACACGCCTCCGCGAACTGCTTCAGGCCAGTGAAATGTGTTCGCTGTGCTGGGGAGCACATCGCTAGCCTTTTCCTTAGCGGTAGAGAGGAATAGCCGAAATGCGCAAACTTCGCAAAGATCCACACGACCAACGATCGCCGCTGCCCAGTCTTGAGGAAGATTGCTAGGAAGCAGGGGATCGTTCTGCCGGGACTACTCCCAGAGAATCCCACAGAGTCACCCAAAAGCTGTTACCATCCAGGAGGATGGGTGGGCCACCGTCGTCAGAGGAAAGGGTAGGCAACCAGCACCCCCCCCCCTCCTATAACACCAATGGAAACTGTGGAACCCGCAGAGTCAAGGGCAACCACCGGGGCGACTCTCCAGCCTCCCGCTAACGACGCCACAGAGCGTCAGTCCCTTCCAAGAAGAAGAAGCGGAGGAATAGGAGCAAGAAGACGGAGCAGCCTCCACCTCAGGGTGTCGTCACCTCTACCCCTACAACATCAGGACCGATAGCTTCACAGGCGCAGGTTTCTGGAAGAACAAAATATAAAATAATATAAAATAACTGAACAATTAGAAACGGTTGAGTTTTATTTTACTTTATTTAATAATAACTACAAAACTGCATTCTTTTGTGTGCTTTTTAATTTATTTAAACAACTTTTACAGATCAAGTAATATTACGACATAACCTAAGAATAAATCATAAAATAAAACCCCAGGTCCAGCAAAATATGATTTTTAACTAATAATAATAATAATCTCTTTTATTTCATACATAGATCCATATAAGTTGTTAGTAATTGAGCACCTTAAATACTAATGTTAGTTCCTTAAATATGAGTAGTCACTTTTCAACAAATCGTTCCAATAATCTAGCATATGACCGTCACATCTTTCGGCGAACACGTTCATTATACTGTTGCGGCTGCCACGTATTCTGCTCAACAGCGAGTACACTCCTTTACGCATTATTGCGTAAGTCATCTGTTTGTGTGTCTGCAAACATCCCTGATGCGCTACAAAATCGAGGCAGCCCCAACAGGGCCCTGAAAATGTTATTATATAAAACACTGTAAGCGCGCTTTGTATACATTGTCCATAAGCTGCATGCGTAAAAAGATTGACAGTAGGTTTTAAAAAGTGTAATCTTAACTTCTTTGCTGCACCGCGCAAACCTACGAATCAACATATTTCCACGGATCGGCAGTGCCCTTCGCTCCCTCTCGATGTCCATATCATCTTTACAATTTTCAGTTATGTAGTGACCTAGATATTTAAACTCTTTTACTCTTCCTAGGGCTGTGCCATTAAGCAAAGAAAACTAAGTAGCAAATGTTTAAATGATCAATATAACTCTGTACTCCCAAAAAAGACATTCTTAGGATAGAAAAAAAATCTGTTATTTTAACTGATTACTTTTTTTACAAAACAATCACATTCAAAGATTTTATTCTAACTTTTGTAACAATTTTAGAGTTGGTTTTGATTAGCTATGTAAGTTTATAAAGATTTTTTCCTGTCTAAACGTATTAATTCTGTTTAGGGATGGTCCATTAATCACGTGCGGCTCGGAACAGAAAATCACGAAACATCACAAGCGGGAAGGGGAAGTGTATAAGATATCACGTATATTAATTTTTTTGCTGAAGCGCCACTTCAAAATTGGAAAGCGGCGCATGATCTTAACATCTAATTCCACACCCGTCACTTCCTCCTTACCAGATTTTTTTTTGGTTTTTTTTACAGCTCTCTGGTCCCGGAGTGGCTTAGTTTATACCCTTTTTTCCTCTTTGGGGTTTTTTTGTTTGTGTTTATCAAAGATAATGGTTGGTTCCGAAGCCAAATCAATAAGCTCAAGAACAAATGGCAAGACGTTTGCAACATTTTTTCTACGCCAGTCTTTTGGAATTACCTCAACGCAAGAGGGCTTTGACAAATTCCGTTATTACCTATATTAACCTAGCCTAAAGAAGTATTCTCAGCAGCTTGTGGGAAGGAAGTGCTAGCAGTGTGGACTGTACTCCTGTATAAAGAGAAATATTAAGGTATATGTAAATTCATGTCAAACCAAATTTAAAATCCGAGCTATAATAGTCCAGAGATGCTCAACGTTCATTCTCCACGCATATTCATCCGCAGATCTATCGATAGATCGAAAGATTCTTAGCGAATAGCGAGAAAATAATAACAGTGCAAAGTAGAAGTCACTAAGAGTGCGCTCGTCATCAACATTGCATGAAATTAGTTAAGATAAAATTGAAGTTCCATGCCTATAAAATCCAAATAATCCAGAAATTTTACGAAAATTACTATCAAACAAAATAAACTTATGCCGAAAGAATGTAAGCGACTTTTTCTACGGCGACGCGACTAAGAAACAATTTCGTCAGTAATGAAGCTCATTTTAATTTGGGAGGGTACGTAAATTAACAAAACTTTCATAACTGGACTCCGGAGAATCCCAGAGAAATACATGAACAACCGTTGCACAGCAAAATAGTAAGCAATTTCGGGTAGAGAAATTATAGGCCCGTATTTTTGCGAAAATAGTCGTGGTCAGTCAGTGACTGCAAATTCCAACAGATATTGTGCGATGATCAACAGTTTTTGAAGAGAAAAACTTCGAAACAGTTCTTTTTCTACCAGAAACATGGTTTCAACAAGATGGCGCTACGCACATATTTCACAAGCATCCATTGTTGCTGTAAGGCAGTTGTTCCCGGGAAAAATTGTCTCTCGGTTTGGTGACATATCCTGGCCAGCAATATCACCGGAACTGAGTCCATAAGACTTTTTTATGGGACTACCTAAAGGGCGTCGTCTATCGAAACCAATCCATCACACTGCGAAACTAAAAGAAAATATATTAAGACTGAAATGGCGGGTATTTCAAGTCACCTCTGCGGACGTGATATTCGTCAAAAATGGGAAGTGTTTGCGTCAAGAAGAGCAGTACTTAGAAACCGTTATCTTTAAATAGTAAAACTCACATTATTGTACCTATGATGAAAATAAAGATTTTATTCCTTACGTGCCAGACCCTCACTTTTGTGTCACTTTACGAATTTTTACACGTTTATGCGACAACTATAAGACAGCGGGAACGAGCTCGCACGATAGTGAGTGTAGTCTGTTAAACCTATTCAAATGTTTGTGCAAACAGCTCGCGCCGCTTAGCGTCAGTTTACTTGCGTGGCCATACAACGTGGGTGTGTTACAGTTCGAATTTACCGCTCGTTAAGCTATTTTTGTGTTTGTTTCTATTTTATTATGATTAGATTGATAAAAAAGGCACATATCCATTCTGCACGCGAGCATTCGTTTCTTCGAGCTATTGTTGCACCTGGCGTACAAAGCGCCCTTACAGAAGTGGCAAGCCCGAACGGCAGAAGACAAAAATGTTTTGAAAGAAACAAAACAGAAAATACAAAAAAGCTTCAAAGAAGAGATGGGCCTTCTTGTTGACATACCCAAAGTCGGTTACGGCAATAGTAACGACGGAAATACGTCGAAAAGATTTTTGACAATCCTGAATGCTCATCTCGGATTACTGGAATAAATATAGATTTGATAAAAAGGTTCCAAATCATTCTTGAAGTGATATGATATTGATCCTGCGAAATTCGATGACTGCTCACACAACTGCCAAACTGTACGTGGCTATAGGGTTGGCATCCCATGTCACCTACAGTTCACAAGGTTCTGATGCATGGCGCTCAAGTAATATCAAGTCACGTTGTACCTATCGGACTGCTATCAGAGGAGGCTGCTGAAGCCCGGAAAAAACATTTCCGTAAATATGGCGTAGACTTTGCAAGAAAATTTTCTAAAGTGGACTGCAACACAGATATTTTAAATAGGTTGTTACTGACATCCGATCCCTTCATCAGCTGCAACAGAACAAAACGGAAGAAGAAAAGCAAGTCTTTTTCCCAGGAAGCTATTAGTATTCTTCTCACGAAAACACTGAATTGTGACAGTTCCAGTGACGAAGATTATGAGGACCAAATCACCTGTGAACTCGGAAACAACAGATTACTGCAGCTGAAGTAAAAAAAATATTTGGTGTAAATATTATTTTTGGTTGTGTGAAATATCCCAGAATGAAGATGACATGACGCTAGCGTTTCAAATTGCCGTATATAACAGATGCTATGGCAAAGGTACAGGTTTTTATTGATTAGGACAAATTTGCATATTGTTGACAAAGCAAGTTTCGACTGAAGAGAAATGTCAGAACCGTCTATGGCTCGTTCAACCACTAGTTGACGCAGTTCCTAATAGATGTTTTGAACTACCAAGAAATCATTGTGCCTATTCTATTGATGAGCAAATGGTCCCTTTTCTCGGAAAGTGTCCACTAAAACAATACGTGTCTGGCAAACCAAAATCAGTGGGCTTGAAAAACTTTGTTATTACCACGTCAAAAGGCTTGATACTAGATTTTGACCCCGGCAACACTACACCTTTTCGTGATAATTCTCTATGTCTAGACCGGTCAGTTGTACTGAGATTGATCACTACAATACCCAGAGATAGCTTTATTTTCTTTGACCGATATTTTACGACAAGCAAAGGGATGCTTGAAAAACTGGTGGCAGAGGAAGTTGAAGGCCCCGAGACACTCATGACCAACAGATTTGAAGGATATCTATTTACTAAAGATGCACAAACAAGGTGTATGGAATAATTTTGAACGCAGCAAGAAATCTTTGTGTAGTTAAATAGAAAGATAACAAATGTGTATTGATGGCGTCGAAATGTATTGATACTCAACCTGTGGAGAATGTACAGCGATGCGACAAAACAACTAAGAGATACACTGAGGTCCCATGCCCTAAAATAATCAAAAAGTACAATGAAAACATGGGTTGAGTGGATGTTAGCGATCAGATGTTAGAAGCATATAGGTGTTGGCATAAAACGCGAAAGTGGCCTCTGAAAGTATTTATGCATCTCTTTGATATGGCGCTCGTTATCGCTTGGTATGAATATCGCGAAGAATCTTTGTTGAATAAACAGAAACCTATGGATTTCCTTGATTTTAAGCCGACTGTGTCTGATTTTTGCTCGGTGGCCCCACTAGAACGATTAGTAAAAATGCCTAAAACACTCATTACAAACCAGCTACAATGCCAACAATTGACAAAAGGCTTGATGGATACAATCACTGCCAATATGTGATATAATAAAAGCTCCTAGATGAAGTAAATTGAAAGGCTGCAACAGTCGATCCAAAGTTAACCACTGTTTTAATGCATTTCACAGTGAAAAATAAGTAATTATTGTAAAATACATTAAAACAGTGCAACTTTGTTGAGATGTTTTTTTTAATTATTGTTATTGTTTATGACCCTAATGTCATACAATTGTACCTGAGAAAGCTAAGTTTCTAAAAAAGTTATAATTATTAGTTTTGTTTATTAATTATAATGAAAAAGACTGATTTGTTACGTTAAATATAAAATATAAAAATACTGTATATGATTCAATAACTAAGAATGTTATCATAATAATTAAACTTTTTTTTTTTTACTAATAAATGGTGTTATTTATTCCTTATTTAAGTTTAGGCCAAAGCTTGGTACACACAAACGTGAGTGTACCAAGCTTTGGCCTAAACTATCACAATAGTGAGTATCCTGAAAGACCATTTTTCAGGTTTTATACATTTTTTGGTAGAAAATTCGATTTTAGAGACCCGAAATAGCTAAGAACATAGACTTTATATTAAAAATATTTTGTCAGTAATATTCAGGTCTGAAAGGGTTAAGGGAAAATTTATTATTTCTTTGTTATATGAAAATTATCATCGGACACCAGTTATAATGTATGGAAATTCCATATCCGACCCTTGTAGTGGACGAAGGTAAATTAATACTATTGTTAATTTTTTTTACAAACACACTTTGTCTTAAAACACCACCGTCACTAATACAGCTTTGGGCACCTGCATCAGTACATAAGAATCAATAACTACTGTCTACTAAAGCTAGACAATACTGAAGTCACCTTTATAGTTGTAATATTCTGAAATGTAGTGGGGTATTGTAACTTAATATGTTTACCATCTAAAGCCCATACGCAATGCAGAAACCTGAATCATCTTTCTACTATAAGCCATTCTTCTGGAGACGTAGAGACCTATAAAGTAAAGATATGAAACACGCGATAGTCGAACATGATGAAACAAGACAAATGTTAGATTAACAAGAAGAGCATTTAAGCCCTGAAAATGTTACCACGCAAAAAGGACTTCCTACCCTCTCAAATAAAAACGTATATAAGTGTCGTTCCTCTAACCCTCCTGAGTTTCAAGAGGCAACCAGACAAATGAAAAATGCATTCGGTACTATTAATGATGTACTAACTAACAAAATAAATCAAGGAGACGATATATATGATCGCCATGGAAAACTACTAGATTAGAAATTGAAGAAATATATTTCTGATGTCGAACACCAGACAGCGTTATATTTCTTCCAAAAATACTACGCGCTCTGGTGATTCGTTTTTGCCTGCATCACCACGTTCTTCTTCCCAAACTTTCTACGTTTCACCAGACTCATCATATACATATATATACCAGACAACATAACCCAATTTGTGAAGCCCTTTTCAAAGCATTTTAAAATGATATTAAATTTGTTAGTCAAGTACATGCATATTATTACTTATTGCCTTCGCAGAAATTTAAACATCAAAACTTCAACGGGTGCTCGACAAACTTCTTAAACTTTAGATATTGACTGGATATTTTGAAGGTATGATGTAACTTTCTGAAACTGTCACCATTTGCTAAATATCGAAATGTCAGTACAAGTCGAATTTTTGCAGGTATTCTCTGTAAATTCGGTGTCCTTTTTGCTAATTGCTGGAGAGATTTTTAAAGTACATATTCGAAATCACTATCGGACATTCGTAAAAAGTTCAGAAACTCCTTCGATTCTGATCTTTTTGATCAGTTTCTTGCATAAGTTCAGCAAGATGATTCTCCAGACTTTTAAAAGAAAATAATTAAACTTATTAAAAAAATATTTTTTAACATTTATTAGAGTTGGACCGATTAGTACTTTGGCCGATTGGCCGATTAGCTGATTGATCGGTTAAGAAATGGCCGATTAATCGGCCCAGCCGATCCTTGTTTCGGCGGCGTTCGGGAAAAGTCGGTCTCGCGGAAATGTCTGTTACTACTCTGCATTACGATTAGAAAAATTGGTTAACCCTGCAGGCCATCCCTGGATTCTTGGACTTTTCGCTAATTTCAAATGCAAAGCGCACCAAATTATGTAAAGCCGTTTAAAAGTTATTCCAAAAAAACAGTTTATCAAAGTTTTTATTTTTGAGATTTCTCAAAATCTACTCGTCCCAATCAGTTCATATTATCACCAAATCTATTTTCACATTGAGATCGCCGCAAACCGCATCTCAATCGATCAAGACGTCCAAAAGTTATGAAATGTTTACATACACACACGCGTACATACAGCCGTACGGATGTCCACGTGAAATTAGTCAGAATAGCTTCCTGGGATCTCAAACTCGATTTTCGAAAATCGGGGTGAAACCAATAACTTCCCTATTTTGAAAATTTTCAATTTTCTTAGCGGGAAGTTAAAAAGTAGAATTAAAATAGTAAGTAATTTGGTTTTAAGTTCCTATGTTCAGAAAAATTTAACATTAAAACATGAGACTGATTTTTCAATAAAAGTTATGTATGAACCTACTTGTTTTATTATTTATTTGATTTACCTACATATAAATCTGACGTGATTTTACGCATGGTAGAGAAACTATTCCTTTCTTAAATTTAAAGCTTTACTCATATCAATGTAGCCGCACTTACCGCGCATAAAATCACGAAAAAATTTGCTGAAATTAATTAAATAAAAAGCTGATTAATCAGCGGTTTTAGCGGCTTAGCGGTCAGCCGCCGTAGTCTACATCACCTGAGGATGCCTCGTGTAGAGGCGAAACACGTCGTATTATCGTCGATGGCGTGTCTTTCCTGGAATAGTGGTGTTGGAAGTAGTGGTGTCGGGAGTAGTGGTATTGGGATTAGTGGTGTTGGGAGTAATGGTGCTGGCACTAGTGGTGACGGAATTAGTGCACGCAATTGAGGAAGGGCGAGAGGTGCTCTTCAATCCAGGTAAGACACATCATTGTATTTAGTTAGCGGAAGGTTGCAAATTAATCAATATCTTTATTATAATTTCTATATAGTCATCTAAAAATATTATAGATATAATAATTTGAACAATTAAAATGCATTATTATGCATAAAGTTAAAATACATTTATTCGGAACAATAAGTATTGTACAATGTGTCTGGTTATCGTTGATTATCTGATTATCAGACTTTGGGGGGGGGGGGCAGAAATACTAAAGGGCATTGCCCATTTTCGGCCATGGAACGCCCAACAATGTGCATTTGTTAAAAAATATATCTTTATTTATGGTTATTAATCGCGGTATTCATTTATCCCAAGACAATGGGAATATTTTTGCACAAATTAAAAGTACCGAAAAGATAAAAATAAAATTAATTCATTAGTTTGTGAATAAAATAAAAAATGTTGCCAATCACAAAAATCATTCAATTAATCGATTCCCCTTTTCGATCGATTACTTATGGTGTCATTATTACAATGCTTATATAAGCATTGTAATAATGACACCATATAATTTTTCTACTTATAGTACAGAATAACTGAATTGTGAAATACGACTATTCCGGAAATGAGAACTTTTATAGGTCTTATTCTGCACATGGGAGTTATTCGACTCAATCGCATTTCAGACTATTGGAAGACTCATGGGCTCTTCAACATTTCATGTTATAGAAAATATATGTCTCGTAATCGCTTCTTGTTATTGTTTAGATGTTTACATTTTTCAAATACAGAGGAAGGTGGTTTGAATAAAGTGGAGGAAATTATCAAACGGTTCAATGAAAAAATGAAGGCCATAATAAGCGCTCAAAAATGTTTGTCCTTGGATGAAAGTATGGTTCTGTGGAGGGGCCGACGTTTTTTCAAACAATATATAAAAAATAAACGCCACAAATATGGCATGAAGTTATATTAGCTGATGGAGCCTGATGGTCTTGTTTTGAGAATGCATTTATTTGGTGGATCTAGCGATATCATAAGTGGAAAAGGACATACTGAAAAAATAGTTATGCATTTGCTGAATGATTTTCTTGACAATGGACATTCGGTATTCATGGACAATTTCTATAATGGATATAACCTGGCTATGAAATTATTGCAAAGAAAAACATACTGCTCGGGTACTTTACGAAAAAAACGCGAGTTTAACCCTACCATTGTGAGTACTAAGCTAAAGAAAGGAGAAAATAAGTCCGTGTATCATCGTGGAGTTCATATTGGCTGTTTCAGAGACAAAAGGTATATTCCATATATAAGTACGGAATTTGATAATAAAATGGTGGTCGTAGAAAGCAAGAGAACTGAAAAAAAATGAAACCCAGGGTACTAGCCCAATACAACAAATACATGTCAGGAATTGATAGACAAGATCAGATGTTATCATACTACCCCTGTGAAAGAAAAACCCTTCGGTGGTAAAGAAATTGTTTGTACATATACTTCAAATCGTCGTTGCAAATTTAAAATCTCCTATGTGAAATTTTTTCCAACGAGCAACGGAACGCAGCATGCTTAACGTTAAACTAAGACATCGCAATAGAAACAGTGATTAAAAAAAAATATACGAAAAATAACAAATATCATAGACGCAGCCAAATTAGCGTGTCAACTGAAGTGGAGATGGGCAGGACACGTGGCACGAGTCAGTGATGGGAGATGGACTGAACGGGTGCTACATTGGTACCCGCGTGATGCGACGCGTGCATGCGATGACATTGTAGAGGTGGCAGGAGCAACGTGGACGAGGCTAGCGGCAGACAGAACTTCATGGAAAAGGATGGAGGAGGCCTTCACCCGGAAATGGGTATCCCATAATTAATTAAAATTAATATAATAAATTATGACTCTATTTTATGTGTATAGCCAAATTCAGTAGATTATTATTAACTTCAATTTTATTATTTTAACTATATATTTTGTGACAAAAATCAAAATAAGTTGACAATTACTTGAAAATATAAATATAAATTGATTATTTACCCTAACATAATTTATAAATAATCAAAAATTAATTTTGTAAATTTAATTGAAACTTTTTATTTAAAATCGATCTAATCTTCTTTATTTTAATTAAAAAAAATTGCATGACTCATAATAATATTGTATTTGATTTTAACTAATATCGACTGTTGTATGAAAATTGGGAATTAAATGGCTATTATTATTATGGGGTATCTATATAGTTTTCTCATCTGGTTGGGTTGTGGTTGGTTTATTATTATTATTATTATTATTATCACATATATTATCACAAAACTATAATATTATAAATATAAATGGAGAATATTATAAATAGGAATGGAACTATATAAATAATATTATTATTTCGGTTATTATCCACCGCGGCGAGGAATTTTAAGCCATCGGTGAAGTTAGGCATCCAAAGATAGGAACCTTCTTACTATTCGAGCCGTATTTAATAAGGCCGATTTTTGAATTAATGCCTTCAGCCATTTGCCCAAACCTAACTTGGACAGATAATCGTCCATATTTTTACCAATAAGCCCATTGACTGAAACAACTATTGGTACAATAATAGTAGAATCAATGTCCCACATAGCGACAATCTCATGAGCCAAGTCGATATATTTTTTTTTATCATTCTCTGCTAACTTATTACTATTATTATTATGTGACATTTTTCTCAAAAATGAGTTTTACAGGAATTTTAAAAGCTATTTTGAATACCCATACTTAGCAAAAACTCCCATGTGAATATCTTATTATATCGAAACAGCACGTATCATTTTTAAAACCTCTCAAGTGTCAGCCAACATTTAATTGTAAATCAAAATGACCTATTTGTCTGTTGTATACATAGGAGTTTTTAGTAACAATTTTATTTCATAACATTGCATATTAAATTATCCTATGTGATCACTACACTATAATTTCGCGCCTAATTTGTGCTAGAAAGAGAATACATTATTTCGTCACGCACGCAATAAAGTGAGATAGATGCGTCAAATCTAAACATTCGTCCCTAGGTCAAGGCCATGCGTCAGTGTAGCTGCAACTTGTCGCGCGTAAACACTTTCTTAGCGTTGTTACTTTAGTAATTATGTCAAAAAAATATAAAACTACTGGCCGGGGTCATCGAATGATAAATTTAGTGCTTCAATCTGAGTTTGCTGACGATAATACCGACCGTGTCGCCTCTGTCGCCGCCGCCGCATCGGTGAAATCTCCTCCACATCTTGACGATTCATTAATTACGCCAGATGATTTAGGATTAATTAATCTTGAATCTATATCTCCTATGTCGGAGACGCCATCACTGTTGCTGTCACCAACAACTACTGCGGATATTATGCCAATCTTGTTCAGTAGTGATGACGAAGAGGAGCCGTTGGTGATATCTACTCGGGCTATCGTACATTCCAATTTAGAAGGTAGTAATGAGGTAGTCAGCAGTGCAGCAAATGAAAATCTGAATAATATTTCCGTATCATCACAATCAGTACGTTCTGCCAAGCTACCATCTCCAGACTTGGATGCCATTCTCTCACTTGGGAGCGATGTTAGTGTGCAACACTGGGTTCCTCCCTCAGAAAAAAGAAAACGGCGGTTGTCTGTATCTGACAGTGAAGATGAAGTCCCATTGTTGCTATTAAGAAGGAGTGAGCCAAGCTCTTTAGAAAATATAATACCGACAGACGAGGACATAGAACACCATTGCAGGTCTAAAGAAAACGTTGTGCAATTAAATAAAAAAGCTAGAGTTTCAGATAAGTCCTACCTGGGATTCAAGAAGAGTGATAATGGGAAATATAAACCCTGTGTTGAAAAACCAAAAAGAGAAATCAAACCTCGATGTTCTCACACAAAATTGAACACCGATACAAAACATAAAAACTCATTCTTGTGTGCATCCATTACGGAAGAAGATCGTAAAGCTATTCATTCATATTTCTGGGGCCTTAAAACAAGGGCCGAAAAGAAAACGTTCATGAAGACTGCTGCTGTTCGTAGATTAATTAGATGTCGTCGCCGCAAAGACCAGACTTCAATGAAAAAAGGAAGTGGACATGATATTTTTTTGAACACTTGCGAAGAAAAGTGCACTAAAGTTCGTGTTTGTAGACTGTTTTTTTTTAAATACTCTATCTTTAGGTGAAGACAGTTTTAAGCGCTGGACAAAAGAATCTGACACGGTTAATGAAGATTTTCGTTTTGTTGATTCACCCACACTTGACATCGAAAATACATCGAGTGCAGCACTGGTACCAAAATACACACACGTAACACAAAAAGTAAAAATTTGGATAGACTTGATTCCTAAAGTACCCAGTCATTATTGCCGAGCGAGTTTCAGCAAGCTGTATGTTGAGTCGACATTCAGGTCTGAAAAACACATGCATGACGTTTTCGTGGAATGGTGTAGAGAACACAGTTACCACAGTTACCGAGCAGCAAGCAGACCGACTTTCCTAAGAGTTCTGAAACAGGAGAATATAGCAATTCACCATCCACGCAAAGATCAGTGTGATACTTGTTGTAGTTTTAAAGCGGGTAATATTTCACAAAACGAGTATGACGATCACATAATTAAAAAGAATGAAGCACGCCAAGCTAAAAAAGATGCCATAGAATCGGCGAACGAAAAGGTTGTAGTAATCACAGTGGATGTGCAGAGTGTCCTACTTGCACCTAAGCTTTTGGCGAGCTCTTTATATTATAAACTTAAGTTACAATGCCATAACTTTACTGTCTATGACTGCAAGACGAGAAAAGTAACTATTTACTTTTGGCATGAAGCTGATGGGGGCGTATCCGCAAATGAGTTTACTTCTTGCTTAATCGATTATATAGCAAACCTAGCGCCGGAAACTGAACAAGTCACTGTAATTTCTGATGGGTGTGGCCATCAAAATCGAAACCAGATTTTGTCCAGTGCTTTAAAGTGATCTTTCGCAAAGAATGAATATTAGTGTTGAGCAGTTGTACTTGGAAAAAGGCCATACCATGATGGAAGTTGATAGTGTCCATTCAACAATTGAACAGTACATTACCCCCCATTTATGCACCGAGTGACTATGTAGCTCGAATGCAGCAAGCTCGACCAAGAAATCCTTACGATGTAAAGTCAATCCACTACGACTTCTTTCTTAATTATGAAGAACTAGAATCCAACTTCAAGTCTATAAGACCAGGTAAGAAAAAAGGTGATCCAGTTGTGGTCGATATACGAGGACTGAAATACTTGTCAGATGAGTCTGTCTTATGTAAATTGCGACATCCTGACGAATGGACCATGCTACCACAGCGAAGAGCTAGTCGTGGAATTTTACTACCACAGCAACTATATCAACAGCCCCTCAAAATCACAGAAAACAAATACAAACATTTGCAAGAATTAAAAAGTGTGATTGATAAAGATTATCATCCGTTTTATGACTCGATCTCGTTTAACCCAGGGACATAAACACAAAAGATTAATTATAATTTGGTTCAGTAGGTACATAATGTACAAGATTTTGTCAAACTATGAAAATACTAATTAAAGATAATTATTGTTTTTGCATAACTGATTTAATAAACACGAAATAATAATGATAATACCTAGTTTCATTTCAATAATAATGTTTTATTATTCTATAGAAACCACCTATGTGACAAAAAGTTGCAATTTTAAATCTCCCATGTGTAGAAAAATAATTAAAATTATGTAATTAGTCCATTTAACGTATGATATAAAATTATTTATATTTCAATACGTTGGAACCACTTTGTTTTTCTTTATAACCAAGGGAATAAAAATATTTTCTAAGATTTTTTTGTAGCAGGATGTTAATTTCGTTTTTCTCGAAAAGTTACTTTTTACACATAGGAGATTTTAAATTTGCAACGACGAAATGCAAGTTCTCAATTAGGGCTTCCATTCCGTAATTACGTAATTACGCAAAACATTAAACTTCTGACAAGTCCGTAACTGAAGGGTTGAAATCCGTAATTACGTAAGTATAAGTCCTTATTATCATCATCATCATATCAGCCTACTTCTACCCACTACTGCTAGGTGAAGGGTTTTAATAATAAATAAAAATAATTTATAAATCATTTTAGCGACATACATCATCCTCTTTTTTAAACAGTATGACATGATAACCCAGCCAACATTGAAACAGAACGAGCGGGTATTCCCCCGTAGAGATTAAATTCAATCCGGAATATAATCTGTAGCTCTCGGTAATTCCCCGCACTATATTTTAGTCTTGGATAACGTAGGACAATAATTCTCTTTGACACGTAAGTAATAGTTTAATTTTGGTAAACAATAGTTCACAGGGAATCCCCGCGTCTTTCTATGTGTGAGATTAGCTCTGATTTATTTTTAATCTATGAAAGAAAGTCTTAATACTCATTTGTCTGTCATCAGGTTCAATTGACCTAGTCGATAGTTTTTTTGTTAAGTGACTGATGTGTAATTTTGAACACTGTTTCGCTGGAGAGATTTCATTTAGTGTATGAACGTATGGAACCACAACAAATATGTAAGTACTGGAATAAAATCTGTTATTTTATTTATTTTTCAAACGGTGAGACTGAGTATAAATTGTGATATGATTGTTTTATTATTGAATCTAACTAATGTGGCATAGGTATAAACGTTTGCGTGCGAGTTGCGAGGTTTTAAGTCGCACGTTTGTATATTAGTTTTGTCCGCGCGTATCTCAAAAAATATCATTTCGTTCGACGATAATTAAATATATAGGCTAGCACCGACTTTCACTTATCCATTAATAAATTAAAGTTTTGAAGGCGGTTTATTTTATAAAAATATTTTTATTTTTGTTTGTTTGTCCTTTTTCCACGTCAAAGCGGAGCAACAGTTCATGATTTTTTTGTATAGATATAGTTGGGGGACTAGAGAATGCTATATCAAATATTACCTACATACTTACTTACTATTTAGTTGTTAATTAAATTGTTTTACCTAATTGTTTTAGGTCGTCAACAAAGAAGACAGTTTTAAAGGAGTTCTTAAACAAACGAACAACATCTTCAATCTGGGAAAATTTTCTAAGGGCCGATAATGGACAAACCGTCGAGTGTAAACACTGTAAAAAAGTTTTAAAAACGCCTGGTGGTGCAACTGGAGCATTACACACTCACTTGCGGGCCTAACATATCACTGAAGTGCCATGAGCGAGTACTTCAACATCAGAGTTCGATAGTGCTCAAATTCAAGAAAAAATTAAGGGCGCCCCGGCCCCACATGAAGCACCCCAAAAGAAAACTAAACTCACGGATTATTATGTAAGCGACTCTTCCAAGGAGTTAAGAGTGACTAGAATGGCAGCATCGGATGGTATCCCGTTGAGCAAATTTTGTACTTCTGAAGACCTAAGGCATGTTTTCAAAAAATCCGGCTATGATCTACCGAAATCGCCAACAACTATAACCAGTATAGTTTTAGAGCTATACGATAATACAAAAAACGCACTGATACGTCTTTTAAAGGAAGTGAAGTCCCAAAACAAAAGATTTACAATGACATTTGATGAGTGGACCTCTACCCGAAATAAAAGATATATGAATATAAATATCCACAGTAAAGATCTCGAACCAGCTAATTACAAAAATTTGGGTCTGGTGAGAATAAAATGTTCAATGCCAGCAGATGTAGGAACTCAGCTAATACAACAACATTTGAGCAACTTCGGACTTAGCCTCGAAGACATAGTTGCTTTCACAACAGACGGAGCCAGCGTAATGGTTAAAATGGGCAAAAATTTTGACGGCCACAATCAATTGTGTTTCGCCCACGGCATACAACTTGCGGTTCTCGATGTGCTATATAAGTCAAAGAACCAGTCAACGCCCAATCCCAATCCAGAGCAACAAGATAAAGAACTGGATTACGACTCTGAAGATTCTGAAGAAAACTATGGAGGATTTTATATCGAAATACCAAGAATTCCAGAATCTGAATTTCTGTACAAAGATACTATAAAAAAAGTACGAGATTTGGTTAAATCTTTTAAAAAGTCACCCTTGAAAAATGACTTGTAACATAAATACTCTGTAGAAGAATGTGGAAAGGGCCTGGATCTTACGCTCGACTGCAAGACTAGGTGGAACAGCTTGTCGGATATGATTGGCCGATTTTTAAAATCAAAATCAACTGTCATGAAGGCATTACTGGATTTGAAATCAAATATAAATTTTACAGAAAAAGAAATCCAAGACCTGCACGATATTCATCATAGTTTAGATGTATAAAAACAACTGTGATGTCTTTGTGTCGCCGGGATTCAAACTTATTGACGGCAGATGCTGCTCTTCAGTTTATGTTAAATAAACTTGATCATCAGCACAACGAACTCAGTAAAAGGCTTGCTATTTCCCTTAGAAAAAGAATAAAAGAGAGACGAACGAGTGTCTCTGGTATTTTACAGTATTTGAATAACAATGAACGATTTTACGAAACCATATCAACAGAAACCTTCACAAAACCGACGTCAGATTATATAAGGACATATATTACAAGATTATTAGAAAGGCTGATTATTAACAGCTAACACAACGTCTGCACAGACAAGTCAAAGTCCAATACAACAAATACGCACAGGACATACTGACTCCAGTGACGAAGAGTTAACTGTGGCCCAGAAATTAGAAAAAGAGATATGTAAAGCCACGTCACAGGTAAACAAATCTACGGTTAACACAGATCTTGAGTCCATTGTTAGAGTGGAAATGTGCATCTATGATAGTGCTGGCGGTGGTCGTGGAGTTTACCTAACAGCAGCGTATAATTATTTACTATCAATTACACCAACAAGTGTTGAAGCTGAACGTGCTTTTTCTTCAGCTTGCTATCTATGTAGTAAATTAAGAAGTTCATTAAGCGATAAAACACTAACGCGTTGTCGTTTGAGATCTCATTTTCAGGAAAAGTCAAATAAGTAAAAGAACATTCTGTTAAGGAAAAAGATCTCTTTATTTTGTTATAAATCTATCTAATCTAATTTATCTAATATCTTTGTGTTGTGATTTGAGATTAAGTTATATGATTAGTATTCAATAAAAACTTTAGTTTAATCAAAGTTCTTGTACACTTCTTACATTACCCATTGCTCCCTATAAAATAAAACATTCGATTTTAAAAATATCTTAGAAATTACGTAATTACGAAGTTACGTAATTGGACCACCAAAATTCGTAATCAGTTACGTAATTAACAAATCCGTAATTTTGGAAGCCCTATTCTCAATGCATATGTAATCTACAATCGATATTCTGGAAAGAACTTGAACATGTATGATTTTCGCATGGCTTTATCCGAAAAATTGCTGCCACCTGTTGGTGTAGAAACTGCAAATTAGTCGCCGCAATGGCCACAAATTAACAAAAATTGATGCTACAACTACAGAAAATAAATCCGATGGACCTGCCCTCTATAGACTTACTACAAGAATAAAACGAAAGGTTTGCCGATACTGTTCAATTTCAAAAAAAATACGTAAACAAACAACTTTTCATTGCATGCTTTGTGATGGGCAGCCCGGATTTTGCAATCAAGAATGCTTTGATTCTTTTGAGGCACATAACGCTTAAAACTTTTCAATAATTTGTGTATCTCTTTCATGGCTCAGAAGATAAGGGTTATGTTGCATATTACTTTTGCTTTGTTTTTATTTAAAACTAATTTTTGGGGTCTTGTGGTTTATGCTTATTGTTATAATAATAATATTGCTGAGACTTTATTTAAGTATATTAAACACCAGTCAATGACTCTCAGCGAAGAGCAGCTTACCAAAACACTGAATAGGATGAGTTGCCCAGCAGGAGACCACGATTACATCAACATTGTGATCGATTTCTCCTCATGGTGCACTCATTTTCGGTCTGAACTTGTAGACCCTCTCTTTCGGGCTCTAGACGATCTGTTTGGCTTCTCTAACGTGTACCAGTTTACACACAGATTCCCCTTGATTTCAAAGTTATTGTTTCAAGATAGGTACGCCCCCCCTGACCAGAGGCCCTCTGGTGAACCGATTGAGGGAGCCCGCTGTGTGCATGGTCCTGAGGCATAGCTTGAAGGATTGCGGCAGAAGGGGTGGACTCTAGCCACAATCATGATCATACTGTTATCAGCTTACAAATGTGACACTACTGCTTCCTTACTTGGACAGGGGGACAATCAGGTCATTGTGCTCAGGATCCCATCCAAGCAGTACCTGAGAGAACGCAATCTAACCCCCGATGAGTACACTGTGCAGTTTCTCCAGGTATTGGAAGAAACATGTACAAAATCTGGTATTGTTATCAAGGTACCGGAATCTTGGAGATCACGTAGACTCCTTAAATACGGAAAACGATACTTCCTAGATGGTGTTCAGGTGAGTGGAGCCATTAAGAAAGCAACAAGAATAACAAGTGAGGCAAACCAGACTATCCTCACAATCAATGCAATCATAGCTGGTCTCTATTCCAGCGGAGCCTCGATAGCTGGGGATGATGAAAGCCCCATACCAGCATATCAATTGACAGTATATGAGGCTGCGAAGACCTTATGGCGACTGGTACCGGAGTACCGGAACATGCCTGATGAGTGGATGATGGTACTCATGCTATTAAACAGGACTATCGGGGGGTATCCTACGGTACAATTTGCTCAGTTTGCGACAAGAGGAACACAGGACACACTCAGCTTAGGTTTAAGTATAGCAAAACACGCCGTTATGATGTTTTCACACTCACAAATAATGCTATGTTTTTATTATTTTATAGGGTAGTAAGTGCAAACAAACCAAATTGAAAGTTCCTTAAAATACTGTGATTTTGACTTTAATTGTAATAAAAATAATATTTTGTACTAAAATTATGTTTTATTCGCTCATACTTACATATTATGAATTCCAAGGGCACCTATGAAATCGACTCCTCGCGGAGTTCTCCGGCACCGCACCTAAAATAACCTGTAGCAGCGTCGGAGCACGGAGCAGCGACGGAGTTAACTCCCCGCGGAGTCACACGGCTCTGAGTCGGACAATCTCGAAGAGCAGTGCCTATAACTCCGCGCGGGTATTGTACATATATATGAAAAAAAAATACAGTCTATAATAAAAAAAACATGATAAAAATGAATGCACAATCCCAATTAATTAATTTAAAAAAACGGTTTCTGGGTGTCAATTTTTGAGTTGCCTCGCCTAATATTGGCAATCAACCTGTTAAGAATAAATTTCGCTATCTCTCATCTCATGATAGGGTTCTACGTTCTTCTTCCAACCACAAATTAAGTATTCCTGTTCGCTTCACCGAGTTCTATGGTAACTCCTTTACAGTTCAGGCTACACGACTTTGGAAATCCTTGCCCGATGACATCAAAAAGCTCCCAATAAGTTTGGCTTTAAAAAATTGGTGCGTAATCATCTTTTAAAGACAACGCTGCATACTTAAATCATTCATGTCATTTATCCTGTTATCACACCTATATATTCATAGTTATTTATAAAGGCTTTTCCAATAGGGACTTGACAATTTTGAATTTAGTTTGTGAACGCACCTTTTCACTTCACATCGAACTGTCACTGTCAGTTTATTCAGTAGACATAACCTTTTCATTATGGTAAAGTACACTAACGATCAACGTCCGCAAATCTTAAAAATTTACTACAGAAATTCGGAGTCGGTGGCCGCTACTTTAAGAGCGTTAACTCCGATTTTCGGTCGTAATTCTCACCCTAGTAGACAGGCAGCAACAAGTTTAGTGAAAAAGTTTGAGTTTACATATTCGTTGTGTGATGTTGCCGTGCCAGTGAGACTACGGGTTGGTCGAAGTGTCGAAAATATCGCTGCCGTTGAAACGTCCGTAGCAAATGATCCAAATCAGTCAATTCCACTGCGTTCTCAAGAGTTGGGCATCGCCAAGACCACTTTATGGCGATTTTTGCGAGATTAGATAGCACAACAAGATGCTAAGAATAATTTATTAGAATCTAAAAATGTAAGAAAGGCTAAATACGATAAGAAATGTAGTAGTGTAAGTTATAATCCAGGAAACTTGGTATTGTTCAAAAACAAACGGGCAATAAATTAGATAGTTTATATGAAGGTCCATTTACAGTGGTAGAGGACCTATCGCCTACATAGGCTGCACTAAAAGTATCGGGAATGGAATATTTCCACTGTTCCTGTCATATTAAAATCTTTTTAATTGAAAACTCCTTGGTTTTAAAAAATTGAATACCATTTATTTATTTAAAAAACGATTCTCGGTCTTGTCACAAGGTTTTGTCAAACTTGTTTAGTCGTTGAGAAAATGGAATTGACTCGAGAAAATTCAAGAGCGATGATTTATTGTAACGATATGATGATGATTGTGAAGTGGTTTCACAAAAAGTGTGTTGACCGGATGATTTCTGCATTTGGTGATGAAGCCCCATCCAAAACCAGAATTTATCACTGGTTTGCTGAATTTCAACGTGGACGTGTCAAGCTCAGTGATGATCCCCGTCAAGGTCGTCCAAAAACTGCAGTCACCCAAGAAAACGTTGATGCTGTGCGTAAGCTGATTGAGGAAGATCGACATGTGACATACCGCGAAATTCAGGCAACTTTAGACATTGGCATGAGTCAAATACAAATAATCTTGCATGAACAATTAGGTGTAAAAAAGTTGTTTTCCCGACGGATACCGCATTCGCTCTGTGAAGAGCAAAAAGCGGCTCGCGTTACTTGGTGCGTCAGAACTCTCGAAAGATTCCACGCAGGATCCTCAAATGCTGTATACAACATCGTATCAGGTGACGAATCCGAAACAAAAAACCAGTCACGAGTTTGGGTGTTCGAAAATGAGTTAAAGCCAAAAAAAATTGTTCGTTCACGGAGTGTTGCAAAAAAAATGGTGGCCACGTTTGTCTCCAAAACCGGCCTGTGTGTTACGACTATTCCTCTTGAGCGACAAAGAACGGTTAATGCAGAATGGTATGCTAGCATTTGTTTGCCACAGGTCGTTTCTGAACTCCGTAAAGAGAACTGCAACCGCCGCATCATCCTCCATCACGACAATGCGAGTTCTCACACCGCACACAGAACAAAAGAGTTTTTAGAGCAAGAAAACATAGAATTATTAGAACATCCGCCGTACAGGCGTACTTTCTATACTTTCCCTAAAATAAAGAATAAATTGCGTGGACAGAGATTTTCATCATCTGAAGAAGCTGTGGACGCCTACAAAACGGCCATTTTGGAAACCCCAACTTCCGAATGGAATGGTTGCTTCAATGATTGGTTCCATCGTATGAAAAAATGTGGCAAATTTCGCGGGAAATACTTCGAAAAGCAATAAATACAGTAACGTTGTGTCACTTCCTTGATTTCCGAAATTTTCAGTGCCGCCCTCGTAATGTAAAAATAATTAAGAATAACAAGGAGATAACAGTACACAAGAATAACAGCAAAGCCTTTTATTCTTAGTATTTTAATAGTTATTTCCCCTGTCACTAAGTTTTTATATAGTTGAACACATGTAAAATTTAATTTTTAAGTTCTTTTTCGGAAAAATGTTAGTTTGTTATTTTATAAGTTAACTTTATAAGACAAAGTGACATTCACGAACATTTTTTTTTTCTAAAAGGGGGTGTGAAAAAAAACCCTATACTTTTCGCCGCAATGTGATCAAAATAATGTAAGCAAGAAAATGGTCCTCGAGTGTGTAAAGGTGGACTCGCTCCCACGGACGTGTAAAATTCAGCTTACGTGGCAATCCCCTCTCCACGTGTGAGCTGTATGTTTAAAAATTAAATTCAACCTGTTTTCTGACAATATAGTTTGGACCGTCTTACGTGTAACATGTCTTTCATTTAAATGAAAACTAACTATATTACAATACTCTCTCTTTTTTACAACTCCACAAACTGTACGTTGTTATTATTGAACAATTTTGTTAAGTTTTTGTTTCGTTATTAGACTTCTTGATTTGTTGTGGACTCAGTTATCGTTTTTGAGTCGATAAAACTAAACTAAAATGGAAGACATCTCAATCATGCTAGGGACGTGGCCAACATCTATTTAGTCTAAGGTTTGCGCAACGGGAACGCCGCTGAAGAGAGTATGCAAAATTTCTCAGTAAACTGACGCCGAATGCTCACAGATTCATAAGAATACACTTGAATCTCGCTGAAAATGGTATAAGAAGACACGCTAACGAACGTACTCGTTTAGTGTCACCGCAAGAGGAAAAAGAGATATTACAATTCATCGCTCAAGACCCGAAACTAAGTGTCCGGCGCGTTGCAATTACTGCCGCACTCAGAGAGCTTCATTAAATTCACCCTAACGAATAATTAACAAATTACCATTATCTTCGTTAATGAGTGATACGTCCCAGAGACTAAATTTAATGATTCATTAGCTAATGAGTAACTTAAGGACACATGTGGCCGTGCTAGGCAATGTCGATAGATGTCGATAAGTCTTAAGGGTTGCTATGTAAATAAATTGCTTTCCGGAAATAATAGCTTTTCGTCTTTATTCAGTACAAACATATTAATACATATTAGTAAACACTTCAGTGTGATTTTTTCCAACACATAACAGTAAAAAGTATTTTTATGCCGTACACAGCACCGTAATAACTGAAATTACAAATTTATTTTTTATTGTGGCAATCGACACCAGATGCCAGTCAGATGTCAGGAGTGAATGTCATTGTTAAACAAACTTTCTATTCTATGTTCTTAAGAGCCAAAGTGTACAGTAATATATACCTCAGAGCTTTGTGTAAATTATTGTTTTGTATCGTGTTTAGTTCACAGAATACTTTTACTCCTAGCGGAGACTACTCCTAGTTTAGTTGTTATTAATTCGTCGTACTAGTAGCATCGGATTCTCGTTGTGTATTCAGTGATCCCTACCTATTATTTCAACGGAATCCGCACACCATATCCAACATGTATTTTGGATAAATAACAAGTGACAAGAAAAATATGGTAAGTAGTTCCACTAGGTACTAAATTACGCTTTTTATACCAGACGAGATTAAGCATTAAAATTGGAAGGAGCGAAAACCACGCTCAAGAGTGCCTAATTTCACCAGCGATGAAAAGGCCTTGTTAGCAGCCCTAATAAAGAGTAAACCAATTGTGGAGTCGAAAGCAACTGACGGCAAGTCAGTTGATAAAAAAGAAAACTGCATGGGAGTCCATAACGCAAGAGTTTAATTGCCAAGCTTATGTTTATAAGGTGCATAAACTTACACTTTCTTTTATCATTTTATAAGCTATTGGTTAAGCTTTAAGCTATAAATTGCTATTATGAAGTGTTGTTTGTTACTTGTTATGCTCTTGTACTTCTCTTCTACTGCCAGCGTGATACCGTTAATTTAAAGAGGGCATGGGATAACATGAAGGCTTTTACACGTAAAGCTCGTGCAGCTGAACGTGGTAGTTTATTTAAAACTGGAGGGGGACCCATAAAACCTACTCTGCCACCACACCAAGGAGCCATCATAAGCATGGTAGAAGAAGTAGGTATAATTATAAATTTTGTTTTTAATATAAATCTGAAGCAGCTTTTTTAATAACTTTATTTTTTTAGGCAGCACCTGTTATAATTTGTGAAGTGAAAAATTCATTTGATAGTGATGGATGTCTATTAAGTTCACTTGAAGAGGAGGAAGTGAAATCCAATGATTGCAAAATAGGTATGTTATGTTAAATTATAACTTTATATTATTAAAAAAAATATGAGCCAAATCATATAAACATTTGATTCGAATGATTTCAGATGACAATGAACCAGATAAATATCATCTTGCAGAGTCTGAAAAAACGCTCACCACTGAATTTCCAATTCAAGTTATAAATAACACAGGTAATACATATAAAGAAAAAAACGTGTGGCACTCGGGGACTGCCGCGGGAAAGCTATTGCATAGCATTTTTTATCAACTTATGCAATTATAATTAATTATTTATTTTATTTATGCAGTTAAGTCTTTGATATTAAATCAAGTTACACTTTTTGAGCGTGGTGACCGATAAGAAAACATTTTTTTTTCTCTTATTGTATAAATGAGAAGTTAATATTGTTTAAAATATTTTTAATATCTTACAATACATGTAGGTTATTCAGGAATTTTTATCATTCAGTTAGCAGCTAGTGTACACGCATACGACTAGTCGCACGCACACAAACACCGTGCCGAAGTCTGCCGAGTGCCGAAGTCTGCCGAACTGAAACGACGTTAGACGATGCACGGCTTTCAACGCCACACCTCTGTGCCCGTCGGAGTGGGGAGCGTGAGGTTTTTTTCGTTACGGAATTTCTGGATTCGGTCCCCGCGCTCAAGGCCCGCGATAGAAGCTATGCAATAGCTTAATAATTTGTATAAATAGTGTAATGACACACCAAAACAAAACTTAACTAGATTCATTTTTGTGAAAGGCTATTTTTGTTAAATTATGATATTATGTTTGGTTTTGCAGTTATTTGAATTACAATTTAATTTTTCACACACGTTTTCTAAGCTTCTAAGCGTTTTATCATTTCTAGAACGAAACATTTTATAAAACACCAAATTGACTATTTTACACCGTATGGCCTCCATACACTAAAATACGAATAAAACAATAGCGAAAAATGTCATTAAATCAATGATCATTAATGCGTGTGTTATACACAAGGAATTAAAATATAAATATATTCATGGTTATATGGACGTGAAATATCGTGCGGTATTAAACTTTACCGATAATCTGACGTCATACGACGTAATTCAAATAACTGCAAAACCAAACATAATATCTTAATTTAACAAAAATAGCCTTTCACAAAAATGAATCTAGTTAAGTATAGAGTAATTTTGTACAGATTAGGTAAATAGTTCGCACTCTTCCTTAAGATAGTGATCATAAAAAGTAAACTCGCAGTGAGAGCACAAAAAACTCAACACGATCAAGTAAATAAATTATATTTTCGGAGTTATTCATGTCAGCAACAATACGCCACGGTCTATTGTAGAAATTAACAACCCATTGGCAGTCATTGCAGTAAAACCTTATATTAAAATGAGTTTCTTCCCAAGGTCATATTAGGTTATTAGTCACAATATAAGAAAATGAACTTCTATTAAACCTGTCAATATCTACAATTAGTACTTATTTACAATAGTAAAATAAATGATAATATAGTCAATCTGTAATGTATCATCACGGCTGGGGAATCCTAGATATTTTTTCGTATTTAGTAAACGAATAACTAGTTGGTAAATTAATCATGATATATATCTTTTTTTTTCGCCGGAGACTAAAATGATATTGCTTTTTTTCGTAACTGCAGATTCTGTGAATTTATTTCATTATTTTGAACAATATACGAAACTTAAGTGACTAAAATTAAATCTAATCTGAACCAGAATCATAAAAACTGTATTATTCGGGCTAAACGAATCTAATAAAGATCTGTTATTTTTGTCTCCTGCGAAAAAAACAGACTATAGGAATCTATCGAATACCTACATAAACAAAATATCACCTATAAATAAAATATTACGAAGCGGAATAACTAATAAGAGTGGCAACGTCGCACTATACAAAGGAATTGCGTTAAGACGACACCTCGAAAGGGCTATCGCCGGACTGATCCGAGTGAATGCATAATTTCTATAAAAACTTGAAAAAACGCCCTCATAAGGTCTAAAATTAGTGTAGCGCCCGCGACGATTAAAAGCGCTTAGAAATTCTCAGAAACTTTAAAATATTTTTGTAAAAATTATTGATTTGAGTAATCAAAATAATGAGCAAGTAAATTATGAATATTAATGTTATGAATATATTTGAGTGATTTCGAAGCATATAGATTAAGTAATTTCGTTGTAATTTCAACTATAGTGGTTTTTTAGAGGTGTTTTCGCAAATAATTATGATCGAGTCAAAATTATACTATCGTGTTTTTGAGCAATCAAATTCAAGATAAAGACATGAATTTACTTATATCAAAATTTCACTTCCCTTAGTGGTGTCATAGTCCTATCAATTATTTTATTATTATAATAGTACATGATATGCCCTTTAAAATGACACCAATATGAATAATATCTTATATCTATATCTACAAATAAATAAAATTGAAGTGTCTGTTTGTAATGTTAAAATAACAGCTTTTTATTAAATGCATATGAAAGTACTAGTAACAAAAACACAATTTTTAAATTTTTTGTCTGTCTGTCGGTCGGTCTGTCTGTCTGTTTGTTCCAGCTAATCTCTGAAACAGCTGGATCTATTTTGACGGGACTTTCACTGGCAGATAGCTGATGATATAAGGAATAACTTGAACTACTTTTGTTTTAGAAAAAGAATTAGGGTTCCGCGCAAAAAAATTAAAACCCATGAAATCCATATTCCACGCGGGCGAGATCGCGGGGAATAACTAGTACTCAATATAGATAAATGTATACTTATTTTTATTTATTTATTATATTATAAATAAATAAAAATAAGTATTAATAATTTCTAGACACATCTCAACAGATATTTCGTTAATAAATTGCTATCAATACTGAAGCATTCTTTTATATTTAACATCCATTTAACACAAAAAAAACTGATAAGAATACTTTTTAAACAACATATAATCAATAAACGATAATCGCGTATAGTGAATTTCGAGGTAAACCAGCATGCGACGACGCGGCCCGCGCCTTGCTGCCACTTGCGTTTGCCGCGCTTTGTCTCGTCACAGAGTGGCGAAATCACAGTAATATAGGTATTTTATAAACAGCACCTGTCTAATATTATGAAATATGTAGATAAAACTTAAAACTTACCTTGATAAATGTATACCCTTTTGTTTGTAATATTTTTTTAGACCTCTCTTCAATCGTTTCTGCTTCTTCCCCATGTTTTACAAACTAAACTTAAACATTAATAAAACTGTACAATTAATATAACTATAAAACTACTATTAAACAAGAATCAGAAAAAACCTACTCCACTACGAGGGTGGATTGAAAAGTACTCGGCCTAACCAAGAAAATAAACACATACTAAATCAGTTATATTTTTATTTTTCTACATAATCACCATCAAGTTCAATACACTTTTGCCACCTCCCCTTCCAAGCATTTAGACCATTGAAAAAAAAATGATTCTTCCTTAGAGTCAAAATATGCGTCTACAGCTGCTTTGACCTCGTCGTTTGTCGAAAATCTTTGACCTCCCAAGTGCTTTTTTAGGTTAGGGAACAGAAAGAAGTCTGATGGTGCCAGATCAGGTGAATACGGTGGATGCGGTAACAGTTCAAAGCCACAGTTGTGAATTTCAGCCATTGACTGTACTGACGTGTGAACACGGGCGTTATCTTGATGAAACAGGACTTTTCTTCTGAGCATTCCTCGACGTTTTCCTTTTATTTCCTCTCGTAAACGACGTAGTAAGGTGCAGTAGTAATCAGAGTTTATAGTCTGACCCCTTTCAAGATAATCAATCATAATCACACCTTTCGAGTCCCAGAATACTGAAGCCATCACCTTATTTGCCGACAAAATCGACTTAGCCTTTTTAGGGGGTGGTGAACCAGTCTTCTCCACTGTTTTGATTGTTGTTTTGTTTCCGGTATACAGTAATGAACCCATGTTTCGTCCATAGTAACAAAAACGATTCATATATATAGATAGATATATATAAATAACGATTCAAAAAATCATCTGCATCGGCTTCAAATAACTCCAAACAGTCGCGTGAAATAGTCAATCGCGTCCTTTTTTTGTTCAACTGAAAGCAGTCGCGGAACCCACCTCGCAGACACCTTGTGGAAACCCAACTCGTTGACAATGATGTTTTAAGTTCGTTCATAAGAGATGCCTATAATCTCGGCTATCTCTCTAATTTTTAATCTGCGGTCTCCCATTATTAAATCAAGTACTTTTTTTAATATTTTCGTCAGTAGTTGACGTCGAAGGCCTTCCAGAGCGGGGTTCATCTTTCACACTCTCTCTACCACGCTTAAACTCTGCTATCCATTTTTTGGCGGATGAATATGACAGAGCACAATCGCCTAATGTATTGACCATGTCATCATGGATGGTTTTTGATGATAGCCCCTTCTTATGGAGGTACTTAATGACGGCACGCTGCTCGATTTGCTCCATTCGCGGAAATTATGTCCAATTATTTTGTTAATAAATTTATAAAATCACAACTAATTATCGCACACGTTTCGAACTTCACACAATGAACTAGTCTGAACTGAACTAAATAATGTGGGTAGATTTGATTTTTAGAATTGAATGGATCTGTGTTAGGCCGAGTACTTTTCAATCCACCCTCGTATTAACAAAATTAAATTTTTGCAGTAATATTTTACGATTTTATTTCGTAGTGCTGAGCTCTCGCAACGCGGCGTACGTCCACCTAGCAACACGATGCGCCCCGCACTGAATTCGTGGACGAATGCGGGGGTGATATAGACGCAGTATTTAATCGGGACGCATTTTTAATTTCTTATCATAAAAATAATACATATTTCTAAAAAGTAACCAAACCAAATTATTTTATTTTGTATTGCAAAGCAGTAGATATTTTTTTTATATTCCTTTGATAAACAATGAAGGAGTAAAGTGGTTTCATCTCAACGATTTGGAGGTGATTTGGGTATTTTTTTTATTTATTATGTGACACCGATAGAAAAATTATGGCTAAACCAAATTACGTATCAGATCATGTAGATTACTAGCTATTTTTTTCATATGGTATTTCTCTGTAAGTGTCGACGAAAAGTTGGTTCATCTGCACGCTTTTTTCAAGCTTTTTGCGAGAGAGCAGCCTTAATAATAAATGCACTTTGTTCATTCATATTCAAAATTTCAAAACACTTTATACACAAACACCGTGTCGAAGACTGAGGAAAAGAAACGACGTTAGACCATCGTTAGACAATGCACGGCCTTCAAGCCACACCTCCGTGCCCGTCGGAGAGCGTGAGGTTTTTTTCGTTACGAAATTTCTGGATTTTCCCGCACTCAAGGCCCGCGATAGAAGCTATGCAATAGCTTAAAAACTTCATTTCTATAGCTAATATATAAAATACTTTTTGTGTGTATTTTACATGTTTTAATATATATTTTTTCGTCAGGAACTCAAGATGAATAAAACATTCCATTTAGCCCAACTGATTGTGTTCCTCGAAAGCCTGCCGATTATATAAGAAGAGAAGGTGTTTTAAGAATAAAAAATTTGGAAGTAAAAAAACGACTGGAGGCAAAGATATTAAATTCAAAGGTTTTTTTTAATACATTATATATAATAATTTACTAGCTACCCTAAAATCAGCTTTTTGAAAACATTGCTAGCATACAGCAAACTCATATTGGGTTATTGTTTTAGTTTGTTAGTTTTATTTTAGGTTATTTTCTTTTTTAAATTTAAATGTAAATGTTTATAGGCCACAGCATCCACTAACCATCAGGTAGACTGTGTGCTTGTTTGTCACACCCATTCTATAAAAATAACATAACTGTAATAAGTAGTTTCAATAACTAACTATAAACTAATATATATTATTTTCTTTTACAGTTGGCTACTCAAGAAATCAAACAACAGGCAGCAGAACTAGAATTACAGACAAATAAAATTCTTTTGGAAAAAGCTACATTAGAATTGAAGATTTTAAAAAACAGTTTACAAAATAAAACAAGTGATTAGTTAAATTATGTTTTATTTTAACCCTGTTTAAATTTTTTTTACTATTGAGAAAAAATCTATTGACAACAGATTGTCTGACCAAAAAACCATTACTGTTGGGGTTTTCTTGTACAGGAACATTATCAATGTTACTGATTAATACATTGTCATCAGTGTCATCAGTAGAAGGCATCATGACATCGTCTAACATTGTTGATATATTGTGCAGTGTGGCACATGCATATATCACTGCCACAACGGTTTCCTTTTTGATCCCCATTCCCATCTGGAGACAAGGAAACCTCCGTTTCCAAATTCCAAAGGTCCTCTCAACAGTATTCCGTGTTTTAATATGACTATTATTATACAGTTCTTGTCCAATACTATTAGGTGACAAAAATGGTGTTAGCGACACACTGCTAACTGCATATCCACTGTCTCCAAGTAGCATACCCTGTCCTTGTAAATTTCCAATGCTTAAACTTTGTTTGACAGAACTGCTATTATATATAAAGCTGTCATGTGTGCTGCCTGGCCAATGTGCAACCAAATCAAAAAATTCTAAATTAGGTCCTGTTACTGCCTGTACATTGATTGAAAAAAAAAACCCTTTCTGTTTCTATACACTTCAGAAGACATTCCACCAAGACTTCTTATTTTAATATGTGTACAGTCAATACATCCTATCATCCAGGAAATTGTGCCACTTCAAAAAACTTTTGTCTGCAAGAAATATTCAGAAGTTTAGTATGTTACTATTAAAAGTATGTTGAAAGTAGTATATGTATAATATTTATTAATGTCTATTAGCATGTTTATATCATGAACATACTTTACTTGATTGATATCTTCCACTGTAGATGGAAATTTTACAAACATCTTCATTTGTAGTGCTATTAAATTAGACACAGTAGTTATAATTCTTGATACTGACTGTTGGCATATATTCATGACATCCCCATCTAGTTTCTGAAAAAATATGAAACCAGGTAAGTACCTACTTGCATAAGTGATAGATTTATTTAATTCAGTCACAGTATCCTGTGTACCTTGCTATAACATCACTTTACAGTGAGGTTTGCAGATATTGTGATCGGGTTGTGCAGCAATAATTTATAAGAGGTACCTAATATTAAAGGTCTATAGCACACAGTATTTTACTTACTTGAAAACTCCCAGTAGCATAGTATCTCAACATAACAAGAATCATTATTTCTGGAGCAAACGGCAGATTTTTGCTGCTAGGTTTTTTTTTAATGTGGTTCTAGCATTGGCATTATGGTATTTTTTATTGCTTGGGGGGTAAAGCGATATCGTGAGTAAAATTCTTAAAAACAAAAACAGTATATTTCTGAAATCGATCCGAATAATCACGCAAATAACGTCTTGGTCCTGGTTCCCTAAATCTTCTTGCGTATTCCACAAAATCAACAAACTCTTCATAATCTGACATTTTCTCAAAATATCACAATTTGATCACAATAAACAAATCCTAGAAAATAACCACGCAATGACACACTTATGTGTGAGGTTATCCTCACAAATTGACCTTTCAAAATCATTCATTACGAAATTAAGTAAGGGTTGAGCGTTACTTAAAGTTAACGGTTCCTTAGACCTACTAATGAACCATTAACTCACTCTGAGAGTCAACTTTTTTAAATCTTTACTTAGTGACGGCTTAAGTAATTATTAAACGTCTCTGAGTGCGGCAGTTAGACTCGGTTTATCCAAATGGACAGTTTGGAAGATTTTGAAATGGGAAGGATTGCATCAATACCATTTTAGAAGAGTACGAGAATTAAATAAACCAGCTGTTGCTCGAAGGTCTGTTTTTTGTTCGTGGATATTAAGAAAAGTGCGATCTAACCGATTTTTTTAAAAAAAAACTTTGTGCACCGACGAAGCCACTTTCACACGATCAGGGTACACAAACCTGTAAACTGTAACAACGAACATCTGTAGCTCCATGGATCAGATAATCCTCATGCAGTGAGACAAAATACCTTTCCTGCACCAATCAATGTGTGGGCTGGTATGTACGACGATATACTGATTCTCGGCCTATCATTTTGCCAGCCACGATGAATGGCCCAAGGTATTTGGCGTTCCTGGAAACTGATTACCTAGACACTATAACGGTAATACCATTGGCTTATAGATCACGAATGATACCACAACTGGATGGAGCTCCGGCACATTTTGCAGTAAATGTAAGAAACTATTTAAATGAGCGATATTCGACGTGTATTGGACGAGGTAGAACAATCGCCTCTCCACCGCATTCTCCGGACTTGACCTCCCTTGGTTTTTACTTGTGGGGCACAATGGAGCAGAAAGTATACGTCGACGTGCCAAATACACGCGAGGTACTTATTGAACATATTATGCAAGTTGGGAATGAATTGAAGAGAGACAAAGACGTGATCTGACGCACCACACAACATGTGTCAATTAAAGCAACAGTTTGACTGCAACATCTCGGAGGATATTTTGAAACGTGGCTGTAACATTTGGATTGAATTTTGACAAAGTAAACCATTATGGTAATCTATTAATTTTGTTTTATTTTTTTATACTCCGAGGTTAGAAACACTGATAGTGTTTCTAACCTTGGAGTTTAAATCATTATAACTGCTAAACTATCTTACTTAGGGCCAAGATGTAAACACACATTCTATACTAACATTCAAAAACAAAAAACATGTAGCTTGACAGTTTAGATTTTATGTAAAAGCTAAATGCTCATAATTTAAAAAAATGTAAAAACAACAAGTTTGTTTAAAAAATTCTCTTTTGCTCTTTTATAAACAAGAAGCAGCAAATTTGTTATCATTGTCTACATTATTAGCTATCAAAAGAGTCCTCTTTCGTCTTTCTAGGAGTTCTACATGGGTAGCTATGGCTCAATCAGTACAAGCACCTGTGCCTCGAGGCAAAAAAAAACAAAATGGCTGTCATTTCATCATGGAGAGAAAAAAAATATAGGGATAGTGATTTGTCGATGAAATTTACCGTATTTCAACCCCCTAGTCTCAGACACTGATGACCAGACACATTATATATAATAAAGTAAAGGCTTAATTTCGTCTTTAAAAATTCATTAAATTAAACTCTGCTGAAAATATTCAAAATGTATTAAATAATAGAAATACTAACTACTACTAGAATACTAATATTAAATGTTTATATTTACAATTACATTAAAATAGTAAATATAAACATTTAATAAATGTATATTATAGTCGGGAATTTAGTCAAACAATTTCCAAGTTGGTAAGCTACCTATAATATTTTTTGTGTATTTATGTTTATTTTTTATTAGTTTGCTTAAGTTTTGGTCACTGACTTTAAAACTTAAGGCATACTTTGTAGCTAAGTTATCTGTGTAATGTGAGTTTTGGAAACTATCGATTTGAATATATTAGGTTCATTTTTAGGGTTCCGTAGTCAAAATTGCAAATAACGGGACCCTTAGAGTTTCATCATGTCCGTTCTTCCATCCGTACAGCCGTCCTTGATATGCTAGTACTTTAATATGGACAGGGTGATGAACGGTGATGGACAAGTTTGCACAGACACACAAGATAGTTGTGTGTGCCTGACACGCAGTTAAACGGTTTTTATTTCTTAATTTCTATTTTGTTAACGATCAGCGCCCCCTCTCACTTCACAGATAAGTTGGGTGAATGTGTACAGCTTTTATTTGCAGTCAAAAAATTTAATTTTGGAGCTGTGATAAAATGTGCTTGTTTTTAAAGTTATCTTTTACTTTTTTTGTTTTTTTTCTATAGAAATCTCAAAGTTCTGTGACATACGAAAAAATGCCAGCAGCATCGCAAGTATTGATGCAGCCACCGGAGGCACGCACGTCGCTGCCATTACCAACGCAACCTTGACCGACACCGCTTACAAATAAATACTCAAAGCAAATGGGAAAAGATGACCACATTGAGATATATAAAATTATGAAGAGCGCAAAGAAAAAAGATGGATTAACCTATAGATGACTTTTTAATTTAAGCATTGTAATTAGCTATAGAGATAAAAAATATAAAGAATGAATATGGTGTACTTCAGGTGAAGTACTTTATTAATATCCTATTAAAGGGTATCATGGGAAAATACAATAGTCTTAGATAAAATATATTTAAAAAAAAAGATAAAACATTGCTAAGAGATGTGGCTTCTAAACCCACACATACAAAACCTAGCACCTCTTCACGCGCACCCACCTGAAGGGCGGCCACTCCCACGAGAACTTCTACGCTCACCGCCTGGCGAGGGAACCGCCGGGGACGAGTGAGTTTCTCGACACTTGATCTGACTGAGTGTAATACGCAACACTCCAACCAACAAGCTGCGCAGCAGCACCCAAGACCGGGGGAGCCATGCTCGCCCCAATCACCCCCAGGTAGAGAGGGATGCCCTGTTACCTGCAGGACCTCCTGCCTCCAAATTACTTTTGTTTTAATTTTCTTATTTTATTTTATACTTCCTTGAAAAGAAATGAATTTCCATCATAACTGTGTTGTACATAATATTATTAAATTATTTTATTAAGCACTGTTGAAAATCTATATATATTTTACATATATATGCCATCTATATATATTAGTATCAATTAAAAAGCTGTTGTAAGGTTAGACTTAATTATGTTATACAACACTCAACAGTACAAGCAAATTAAGATTGCAGTGAACATGCACACTGTTGCCCGTTGGCTATACGCAATGAGTGGCTGCATAACATAGTGATTATATGTCCTCTGTGGCAGCTGCTCAATGTGCTGCTGCTAAGTTTGTCAGATAATCGAAGCGCCTTTAACCAAAGTGGCCAATAGCTTGTTATCAAGTTTACGAATATCATAGCCATGGCTATTTTGTGAATAGCTGCTATTTAGTTAGCTATTTGAATAGGAACCCATCTTTAATCACAAGCAGTCACTAAAATGGACTACAAGCTTTTCAAAACCGTGTTGTTATTTTTAAATCTCTTTGTTGATTTTATTGCTAAATACCCTATATTGAAATCTTTAGCAGTATGTATACCTTATATAATTATGATGATATAGGATTTAAAAGGAATAAAAAAATAATGTTTTGTCAGTCACTTGATGAGTTTTTAGAGTAAGCCGACGTAATTCTAATCAGACGAAAAACGTATATTTATGGCCGTCAATATCTCTACAATTTCTATAATCACTACATCGTAAGTTAATAATTTATACAACTCCACAATTCCAAAAAATTCATAGAATCTTAAACAAGTGAGCGCTATCAAGACTTATTTAACATTTGGGAGCCTAAATCTACGAAGTAATACGACACAAGGGCTACCAAAAACGTGAAATTTTTCTTTATTTTTATTCAAAGAATTTTTATAATTACTAATTTAGGCATAAAGAAAAGCTTACCGACGAAAGGTTATGTTTTCAATTTTGAGATGACTGTTGCTATTATAACCTAAAATACAATAACATACCATCATTTCTTTAACTTATTAAAAAACACACAAGTTAAGCACACAAATCAAGTAATAGTTAGATAGTTATTATTAAATATTCGTTTTTAGGCTCTAGTATATAATATACAGTAATCTATGATTTAGGCACAGACTACTAAGAGGATACGATTTAGGGTATGTTCCAAAATACAACGCAGTGTACTGTCCAATGCAAATGACGTCATGAATCGACGCTATACAGGTGATTCGTTCCAAAACATTGGACAGTATATGACGTCATACTTTTGCGCTATTTGGAAAAGTGTTGGCGATTATTTTGTCATTTTGTGCTCCAAAAATCATTATATCCTCCTAATGGATATACCATCAATTATTCTATAATTTTTTGTATTTTAATAAATAGAAACAAATTCTGGCATGCTTCATTCGGCAAACACACAATTAAAAATTGTTTTATTATGGTCGGATATCCGACACAATATGGCGGTGGCACGCTAGTACAATAAAGTGTCAAATGATACGTCATTTGCATTGGACAGTACACTGCGTTGTATTTCGGAACATACCCTTTAACTATATACCATAGAGTAAAGTAATATATGCAGAAATCAGAAACTATTAAAAGCCGAAAAGCCGGGCTTGCCTTATTAAAACTGAATCAATCAATAATATCAACTAATAAAATAACTCGTAAAATGTTTCAAGCTATTTCAAATTTCCCGCGCACTCCACTGTTCGACACATGTCGACCGATGACCTCGTATTGCCTAACGGCGCCTCTACACGTTGGCCAACACAGTGGCGAATGAAGTGGCCAATAGCATTGGCCAACGTGTAGACGAGGTGTTTGGGCTTCATTGGTATGTATTGGGACGATGGCCCACAAGTTGGCGCGAGATCCGTGTGGTGTCGGTTTTTTACAAAAGATCAAAGGATTGTTTGCAGAGTTTGGTCGCCGTGTCCACACGTTGGCCGCGCGTTTAGTTTGCTACAAGCTCCTAGAGTGATTACACGCATCTGATTTAAATTTTATATTCAAGCTTTATAGGGTGGATGCCCCAATTACCAGCCTTTTAGTGCCAATTTCAACTTTAAACATTCCTACTACTTTAATTAGCGCGATTTAATTATTTTTGAACATTTGTTTTAATCGATTAACTATTTATCAAAAAAAAAATAACGAACATTTATTTACAATCAGTTTATTACGAGAACAATTTTAAAATGAAAACAAGAAGCACGTCGTTTATAATTGGTAGAACCATGCAGTTATATTAGAAGTATAGTTGTAGCACGAATGGGTCGGTTCGACCATGGAAGGACCACGCTCTCACAGAATATCAATGTAAAATAGTAGCTTAATAATGCTGTGTTTCGTATAGTGAGTGTAGAGAACCAGAGACACTTTTTAAAGGTAACGAGGCATTTCATCTTAGTCCTCACGGGTGACAACGCATCTGCATTTTGATTCGTAATCGAGGATAGATGTAGTTGTCTATGGGCCACAGCAACCACTTACCATCAGGTGAACTGTGTGCTCGTTTCTCATCCTATCCTATATAAAAAAGCGTCGATTTCTTATAATTTAATCGTGCAAGTTTTCGAATCATCATCATCATTACAGCTGTTCACAAGTCCACTACTGGACATCCTCCTCCACAGACTGCCGCAAAGCATGATCCTGAGCCACTTTGCTCGTCATGAGCTTTTCATTTATGTTCTAAGTTATAATTAGTACCTATTATTAAGTCAGTGTTAATTATGTTTATTGCTATTGTTTTTGTCTTTCTCAAAAAATAATTAAATTACCAAATAAATTATAAGGTGTTTTTATATACATCAAATGTCTGATAGAAATGCAAGTACATATTTTGCTAAACTTTATAATCAAAACCCAATTTTAAAACATAGACTAATCGATTATAACTCCTTTAACTTTAAAATAAGTTAAGTTCTTATTAATGGTATTTATTCCAGTTTATGATGCATGTAAAGAATAAATAAAGCTAATCGTATATCGTATATATTAATCCCACACTAGGATTTACTCCCGTATCGCGCAGGCAGTTAACAAACACAAATTGCACAAGGACACACATCCAGACCCGAAACAATTATTTGTAGGACATACAAATAAGTAATTGTTCCGTGCGGGATTCAAACCCGCGGACCCCGCCGCAGCCACTCATTGCTGAGTCACTGCGCCACGGTGCCGTCGTCTATAAATTCGTCCGCACATTGGCCCGAACCGAAGTAAACTGAACGACCTTCCAACGTGTGGACGCCGTCACCAACTCTCGGCCAATATATTCGCCACTCCATTCGCCACTGTGTTCGCCAACGTGTAGAGGCGACATTAGCGATACTGCTGCTCAGTGTTGCCAGATGCCATTAACCTTTTATCTGTATTAGAAACTGCTAAAATCTGTATTAAATCTGTATGCTATTTAAACTTAAAATCTGTATGATATAATAAACCAAAATAGAATAATTGATCATCATCATCATTGCTTCTCTTGAAAAACAAGGAATAACCACTAACACGATAAGCTGACAGTTTGATTACTTATCGTTATTAAATAAAAATATTTTTTTATAGAATAAGAGTGACAAACGAGCACTCAGTATACCGATGGTAAATGGATGATGTGGCCCATAGACGTCTACATTTATCCTCGCTTAAGAAACAAAACGTAGATGCGTTGTCACACCTGAGGACTAAGTTGGAATGCCTCGTTTCCAGTAAAAAAGGTTCTCCGGATTTCTACACTCACCATACGAAGCACAGCAGTATTAAGCTGGTATTTTACGCTGGTACTCTGTGAGAGCGTGGTCCTTCCCCGATCGTGCTGCAACCATTATATAGCTGCAGCGTGGCTCTACCAAGTATAAAATATACACTATACACAAAATTTTTTGTATGACAAAATTGAAAACATTAATTTAAGCAAACAACGTATTAAAACTCAAACATTTGCAACAAACGAACATATAATTACTTTATTATTTTCAGTCATACATATTTTATAATACACTTGTAATTCTGCCGTACTAACTAGTTACGTTGTGAAAAAATAAATTAACCATAAAGAATAGAATTATGCCATAATGCGTGTAACGCGGTATCTAGTCACTTATTTTGCTTCGTTCTGTTTTAAGTTGAATATTATGGTAAGCCAATCGGTAGAGTTGGAAAACTCTGTATAAACATCTGTATCCAGTGCTAATCTATATCACACACCGAAAATCTGTATAAATACCGGGAAATCTGTAAATATGGCAACACTGTACATACTACATAGTAATCTATGAACACTTCACTTCAAGTAATTTTTAAGCTATTGCATAGCTTCTATCGCGGGCCTTGAGCGCGGGGACCGAATCCAGAAATTCCGTAACGAAAAAACCTCACGCTCCCCCCTCCGACGGGCACGGAGGTGTGGCGCTGGCGTTGAAAGCCGTGCATCGTCTAACGTCGTTTCCATAGATTACTGCGTATATACTAGAGAGTCGTTTCAGTTCGGTAGACTTCGGCACTCGGCAGACTTCGGCACGGTGTTTGTGTGCGTGCGACTAGACGTATGCGTGTACACTAGCTGCTAACTGAATGATAAAAAATCCTGAATAACCTACATGTATTGTAAGATATTAAAAATATTTTAAACAATATTAACTTCTCATTTATTCAATAAGAGAAAAAAAATTGTTTTCTTATCGGTCACCACGCTCAAAAAGTGTAACTTGATTTAATATCGAAGACTTAACTGCATAAATAAAATAAATAAATAATTATAATTGCATAAGTTGATAAAAAATGCTATGCAATAGCTTTACCGCGGCAGTCACCGAGTGCCACACGTATTTTTTTTATTTAATTGGCTTTACGGCTCTGGGTACTAGCTCTTCTGAGCATATCATTCCATTCAGAATCTACATTTTATGTCTTTTTTCTTCACAATATGCTGATGCGTCACATTGCGAAGTTTTTGGGAGATTTTGTCGACAGCTCAACCCAGTGGACTGTTGATGACGACAGCCACTCAAGTTCATAAGGCGCCCAAGCGATCAAATTAACTTGAGGTTTATATCAACATCAAAGCAATTGTTTCGTCGTTTTCTCTAATAGTTTACACGCGCAGACACTTAATTCACAAAATCACATCATTTTTTTCTTGTTTTTCAAGAGAAGCAATGATGATGATGATCAATTATTCTATTTTGGTTTATTATATCATACAGATTTTAAGTTTAAATAGCATACAGATTTAATACAGATTTTAGCAGTTTCTAATACAGATAAAAGGTTCATGGCATCTGGCAACACTGAGCAGCAGTATCGCTAATATCGCCTCTACACATTGGCCAACACAGTGGCGAATGGAGTGGCGAATATATTGGCCATGAGTTGGTGACGGCGTCCACACGTTGGAAGGTCGTTCAGTTTACTTCGGTTCGGGCCAATGTGCGGACGAATTTATAGACGACGGCACCGTGGCGTAGTGATTCAGCAATGAGTGGCTGCGGCGGAGGCTGCGGGTTTGAATCCCGCACGGAACTATTACTTATTTGTATGTCCTACAAATAATTGTTTCGGGTCTGGATGTGTATCCTTGTGCAATTTATGTTTGTTAACTGCCTGCGCGATACGGGAGTAAATCCTAGTGTGGGATTAACGTTTTTTTTAAAAGAATTATAAAAAATAATAGTGGATATTAATGGGGCTGTAAATAGATATACGATATACGATTAGCTTTATTTATTCTTTACATGCATCATAAACTGGAATAAATACCATTAATAAGAACTTAACTTATTTTAAAGTTAAAGGAGTTATAATCGATTAGTCTATGTTTTAAAATTGGGTTTTGATTATAAAGTTTAGAAAAATATGTACTTGCATTTCTATCAGACATTTGATGTATATAAAAACACCTTATAATTTATTTGGTAATTTAATTATTTTTTGAGAAACACAAAAACAATAGCAATAAATATAATTAACACTAACTTAATAATAGGTA